ATTTCTGCCCCCGACCCCCCCCCGGCCGGCAGCGGCGTGGAAAAGACAGACTGTTGTTCCCCTCGGCCAAGTTTCCCTTCGAAGAGGCGGCGGGTGAGTTAAAAAAGAGGCGATAAACCCCGAGTCCTGGACCTGGACAGACCTCGGGAGACAGAAACTTTTGTTTTTCCTTCTAAATAAAATCCGCGACGTGGGCAACCCCATCTCCAGAGTAACTAATTATTGTTCTTCAAAGGGTCTTCTCGTAACCTGAACTGAAAATCGGGGATTCGAGTCAGTATTTTCATCGCAAATTGATTTCAAAGAGGAGGAAGTAACACAGGCTCATCTTGAGCACTGAATATGGATTAGAAATTAGCTGCTTTGTCCAAAATCCTTTACCCCTTTCAAAATAATTAAAATAAATTAAATTAGCGCATTGTGCCACGAGGCGAGAAGCCCATTAATGTCCCGAGAAGGGCTGTTTGTGCCCCAGAAGCAGATGACTTTCCCCAGCACAGCAGCCTGTGTTGTGTTGCTCAGCCTGCACAAGGCAGACATGGTTCCCTCCTGCTCTTGCTACCGAAATATTTATTTTCTTAACAAATTCGGCGACGCGGGAACAACAGGGCACGGCCAGGTTTTGTTAATAGCTATAACCAGTGCCCTGTGGCTTTGTAATTCAGCAGTGGGTTTATTTTGATACAGCTTGAGTGGCGAAAATCTGAGTCATCATTATCTAAGGAGACACCGCTGCAGTTGATTTTTTCATACTTCCACGCAATAAAACTTGCTCAAGTTATCAGTTAGGGCTCTCCCCTTCCACAGCAGACTGCAAAATAGCCCCCCCCCCCTTTTTTTTTTCTTTTTTTCCTGTCCAGTGACTGATTCCTGCATTGGAAATTATATTTAAAAGAACATACCCAGCTGATGTCTCTGCTAAGCTAAAACAACTGGCTGCTGGCAAGCAGGGGAAGCTCTCCAGCTGCGCCTCACCCAGATCGTGCGTGAACAAATTAAAAATAAATGCATTTCGCGTTTCAGGGCACAGAGAATTAAAACAAGTGTTCTCTGATATTTTCGTGATCGCCTACAACCCCTCGTTTTGCCAAAGGCCTCTGAACTGTTTGTTAACGCTTGCTACGGTAACTGTCGGTGCGAATAAAATTGTGTCCATCATTAGGATTCACTTTATGTTTTCATGTGGGTAATTACTAAAATTTGTTTACTGAACTATAACTGCTGACTTTTGTTTGTTTGTTTGTTTCTTTTTGAACATCTTTTTGGTAATGTTCAGTGCTGGATATAAGGCAGAATCAAAACTGGCGCCAGGCCTTTTTACCTGCAAGGGCCTGGTGTCCAGCGGTGACAAACCACTCTCGAGCCAGTTGGGCTTTTGAGCAGAAAACGGGCACAGGAAACTCGGGCAAAGCTGTGAGAAAACCGCATTAAAGACTGAATGCCTGCTGGTATGAAAAAGGCGGGGGGGG